GTGCTCAGTCCGTACTGTCAAGACCTCAGGCCGATATTCTCCCAGTACGGCCCTCGCGCTTGGTTAATAAGATATATTTACAATTTAAAGCTTTTGGTTAAATGCCTTTTCTTTGTAGAATTCTCCCCTCAAATTACCACCAGACCAAAGATTATGGCAGATAGATGAAAGTATATTCTCAGAAGAGTCTTCATTAGCAACACTATCAAGATGTTCTTCACTACAGAGCATTGAGAACAATGAGAGTGAGCAAAGAACAACTGCTGAGCATTCAAATGGAGTTGTGTACAAGACAGAACTGTAATGTTTTCAAAGACAGGAGGATAATTCTCAATATTTTAACTCTTACTGTCCAATGAGAAGTAACTCATAAAAGAGCTATGACATCATCTTGTTGCCATAGCAACATATGTTGCCCAGGGACATCTTTAAAGTGACAGCAGACAGAGCATTAGATCGCACAGAGGATATTGCCTCTAAAGGAGACAGTTTTTGTTCTTCCCAATTGTGCCTCATTGCTCAGGGGGCCTCCCCAGAGCAGAAATTTAACATTGTGTTCTCTTTGAGTAAATATGTATAGTGTACGAGAGATTTACCAAGCCTACCCCTCACAGTTTTGTGATGTTGAGCAGTACTACCAAATAAGGTGGTGAGCACATGCGTGTGAAAAAGAACAAGAAGATTGTGAGAGCACGAGCTTATGGAAAGTTTTTCCATCGAATTTAGTGAGAGTTTCGTGAATTAGATTGAAGTGGAATAAACTAGGAAATTGTGTTATTGTGAGCTCTATGGGCTGTTTTATTGTTGGGCTCAATAGCACATACTTAGGATTCAGTGATGTTCAATGCATACCAGCTCTAAAGTAAAAACAAAAATGACCATCAATGCAATTATTTTGTGGTTCCAGTTTTTTTTTCCAAGTTGATAATGAGCTATGAATTTATTGATAGTTGTAACATTTTGCACATGGTTATGAAGTGTCATTGTAACATTGTTGGTGTTATTGTGTGCAATGTAATACAATTGTCAATAGTGTTACTGTTCTTGTGAAGTTGACCCTCAGTTTGAGGGTATTGGATATTATTTTATTTCAAAAAATTCTGTGCAGTATATTGCATATTTGTGGCATCATGAAATAAATTCACAAACATTTCCAAATAGCTACCACATTTCATTATCATACTGTGAATGACTTGCAAAGATGTAAAGAGGGAATTTGTTTAGCAGTTTACCAGAGGATCTCGGAGAACTAATGACAGAGAAAGCTCACATCAATGCATGTCTTTTATTATAATTCTTACTGTTACTACTATTCATTGTCATGACAACCTATCATTACCAGCGTCAACCTTATTATCATTAACAATTATTCCACAAGCGCACGTTGGATATGAGACGATAGATAGCCAATGAGGTGCGTAGTGCCGAGTTAGCGATAATCATCTCATATCCAACAAGCATGAGTGGATTAATTGTTTTATTAAAAACGTCCCCAAGATATTAGACAAATCTTACCAAATCTTAAATCTTTTAGCTCCCTTTTAATTTTAACCTGACGTGTACGCTTACCATATTTGTAGATTATGGTATATTGGCTCATATACCATAATGGCTAAGCCAATAAAAAGTCTTGAATTGCATTATTCAATGATCCAGTTTTTAATAATCTTCGTTATATTTATCACAAGGCTGCGCTCTAAGGAAAATTGAATGGAGCCCAGTGCTCTGAAACTGTGAAATCCAGGGTGCCCAGCATATGCTTTTTATGGAAAAACTAAATTCCTGAGTCACCCAAGAGCAAAAGTAAGGCGCCAGGG